TATGCTATGCTATGCTATGTTATGTTATGTTATGTTATGTTATGTTATGTTATGTTATGTTATGTTATGTTATGTTATGTTATGTTCTGCTATAACAAAGATACGTCTCAACCCCAAAACCTTCATTCAACCAACCCCTTATGCCCCCAGCCCCACCATCCCTTGTCCTAGAGCCACGGACGATGAGGATGACGACCTGAAGCTCCTCCACCGAAAGGCGAAGACTCTCGGCAAAGCTGGGCTTATCTGACCTCGGATTTCCTCGATCTTAAAACGGTTTAGGGTTTAGGGTGTAGGGTTAAGACTTAGGAACCAGGGTTTTGGGGGCTTGTGTCCTAGAGTCGAGGACCAAGTTTCAAAGGCTCTTAGAGTTTGGTTTCTGCGTAGACTTTCGGGAGTTTCTTCAAACATCCCAAATACGAACAGCAGCTAACGATAGTCATCATCGTAAACATACTCTTTCTTGCATCTCGTGAAGCAAATCCGCCTCTGGAATGTCGAACGTCTACATCTACACATGGTCACGAAAATCTGTAGTTATCGGCCATGCACCTGGAGTTTTCTGCCAAGGAAGCACGGCCCGCTGATTGCAACATGGACGACCGGGGAAGCCAAGTATATGAGCTTGGCTATGAACTTGGCTTCTCGTCTGCTCGGCGGCGCGACCCGCCATACGCATCATACTGAACATTGAGCCCTCGAGCCCCAACGCTGAGCCTAGATAATCCCAAGACCGAGGCACCCAAGCTTACAGAAATGAGACCCCATCCTCGATGATGCCAGAAAATGAGCTTCTGGTCTGAAATCCAGCCAATCAAGACCACTGCACAGGCTTATCATTCAATGCTGTTTATTGGAACTGAGACCCCCACGACATTGACACTGGCACAGATTCTCCAGGGAATGGCCTTTGTAAAGGTTTGTAAGAAGTGGGACCCTCCACCTTTGGAAACCCCCGGATCCCGGAGTTCATGTCAATCCTGTCTTCCTACACTCCTCACAGAGAACCTTAAGAGTTACCATCCTCGAAGCCTGAATCTTGTGCCCTACAAGCCGCAGAACCTGAACCGCAAACACCCTTAGCTCGAAACCCTAAACCCCGAGAAACCCTAAAACCCTAAACTCTAAACCCTAAGACCCTAAAGCCCTAGCCCTAAATCCTAAGACCCTAAAACCCTGAAGCCCTAAAACCTGAAGCCCCCAAAATCCTGGAACTTTTTAGGACCCGAGCTCCAACACTCACAGGCTCTCTCCATCAGAAAGAACGCTCCGGGCTTGGAAAGGATTCTCGGAGCTTTTTTTGGGTCTCAGACTTTTGGGGGCTTCGAGTTTTTACCTTTGGTTCATGCTTTAGGCTGAAGGCTGGGTCGAGTTTAGGGTTTGGAGTTTCAGGAACTAAACCCTAAACCCTAAACCCTAAACCCTAAACCGCGTCGGAGGTGATTTATTTGTTCGGAAACCCTAAACCCAAAACCCTAAACCCTAAACCCTAAACCCTAAACCCTAAACCCTAAACCCTAAACCCTAGGGCATTCTTTCGGCTCTGGCTCCATGAGGAATTTCCTCTGCGTGGCACTGGACCGCGCCGCCCGGCGAGCCATGCGCCAGCGCACCTTCGAATTATTTTAGCCGGCCGCCCCAAATTTCTACATCTATCTCCGGTCTACCGCCAGACCATACATAAAGCCCTAAACCCTAAATCGTATCTGTTTATATAGATATACCACTTGTAGATGTACTTCAGGCACGATTTGAGTTGCTATACTGTCCTATAGATTCTAAGAAGCCTTGTGCCCGATTCGAAGATTCGCTTCCGAACTGTTGCAGGAGTTGAACAGCGACTACACACGTTTTGCGAGGTTCCTAGTCATGACTGGAGGTCTATCCGCATGTGTATATATATATATATATGTCCATAGAAATACACATAAACTTATATGCAAACGTGCACCAACACCTGAAGTTGTAAGTTCGTGAAACTTTTGATCCAAAGCCTCAACCCTAAAACCTAAACCCTAAACCCCTAAACCCCTAAACCCTTAAACCCTAAAGCCTAAACCCTAAACACCCAAAGTTGCTTGGGTTGAGGTAAGTTTCACACGCTGTCACATCCAGTGCCCCCTGGCCCGGCTCTGACGCCTGGCATTCATAAAGCACTGTCTGGCAGAACAAGTGCAACAATTCCTGGCTGACTTCGACTACATACCTTGATTTAATAACATGAGGTCAGATCCCATCATTGCTAGAACACAGAATGACTCTTCACAAGAAGACGTCCGATTATTGCTATCACGGCATGCGGCAATGAAAAGAGGTGTAAACGAAAACATTCTAAAGCCTTAAACGCCTCTCGGTTTTCAGGATTTGGTGTTTAGGGCTCGGGTTTGCGGGGTGACCCTAAGCCCTAATCCGCTAAGATACCTGGCCCCACAGCTGAATCCAGGCATCGGTAGCCGTAAAGGCTATCTTCCTGGAACCGAGCTTGAACCCGGAGCAATCTTCGTGCTCTGTAGGTCTTCAAACAGCCAGCTCAAGCACCTGACGACGCGAAGAATCTGCTTGCTTCTCCATGTCTCAAACACCAGCCGGTACCAGAACTGGCATGTGTACTGACAGAAGAGTGGACTCCTTTGCTCGTATGGCGAGTTGGTTAAACTCGGATGCCTCCTGCACCAAAATTGCGCAGCCGACAATGGACCATGCCTAGGATGTCGTGGGGCACAACAGAGATAGGCATACGAGCATTGTTTCTATGTGTAGGGTTCGGGGTCAGACCAAGCCACCGACAGACGAGGCTCTCTGCGGTGTAGCGGCAGTGTTTAAGGCTAAGGCTTAGGGTTTAGGCAAAGCTTCAGGGACCGTGCGGAGCGTTTCTTTTTGGGGGGGCCTGGGGCTATGTGCTAGGGCATTGGGTCCCAAGATCTGTCATCATAACCCACCATACCAGCATTCTGCCCACCCCCAGCATGAGTCCTGACCCTGACTACCACTGGGCTTTGGAGTACCATACTTGAATACTTTTTTTTTGGGACCTGTTCCTTAAGGGAACCATTGTAAAATATAAACCTATACTTTTTTCTCCTTGGTTACTTCAAAGCCCAGACCGGTAATGAAGTACAACTCCTTTCGTGCACAAATGCAGCAACATGTCATTGCATCGAATCCCGTAAACCCTAGAACCCTAAACGAGCTACGGTATGACACGGCCTTGGCTGTCTTGTATGAGGATGCGTTTAAAGAAAAAGAAAAATTACGGCCTTGGCTGTCTTGTATGCTCTTAGAGAAGAATCTTAAAGCTGCTACTACTGCTGTAAATGACAATGTGAGAATAGCCATTAGCGACTGGTGCTACCAACATGAGCAATACCGACAGTAATCATGATGATAATGCTACTTTGGGCTCTTTGTGTCCCAAGTGGCTTTGGGCTTATCGGGAGTGGGGCCGTAGTAGTACGGCTTTTGTGGTTTAGGCTTTTGGTTTGGGCTTGTGTTTTCCGTGCTGTTTGTTGCGGATTTTCCGTTTGGGTGTCGGTGTCGGGGTTTTGAAGCTACAGGGTTCAGAGAGCGCTGCCAGGAAAGATGCCATCTGGAAGATGCGGTGGCTGGTGCTTCACACCTTTGCTCACCTTGGCATTGATGGCCTCGTGTTGGACTCTGCCACTCAGACGCTTTAGATCCGAATGTTAAAGAACTCTAAAGCACGTATAAACTTCAACCCAATAGCCCTTCGGATTTCGGGATGTTCATGGTTCGTGGGGGGCTGGTTCGCAGGTTGGAAGTTGAAATGAAGCTGCTACACCCGAAGGCCCCCAATCCTAAAGCAGATAACTCCGCAACCCTAATCAATCCCCAAACCCCAGACCCTCACTCCGTGACCCCGCAGGACATCGTCGTCCTCCAGGATCCCTTTCCAGCCCTTTGGGGCGATGCAGACTTCGAGGTACCAGAACGTTTTGGGCGTAGAGTTCCGGGATCCAAAAGATGTGCAAGGTCTGGGGCTTGGGTCGAGGGTGTAGGTACTTGAGTGTTTAGAGCTTTCGGGGTTGAGTGGTTTCTTTTTTTCGGTTCTTAGGTATCTTCTTCGTCCTCTTACAAAGCGATGAAAGGAATTGCTGTGGCAAGGAGTGCATAGAAGCTTTGTAAGTGACAGGCTACTTAGGCCTCCACTGCTTGCTTCAAGCCCCCGGGCCCTAAGCCGCGCTGCCCCAAACCTGAAGCCACAACTTCAGGCTCCACAGAACCCGACGCTGCTCCCCACTTCCTGAACCGTAGGTGGCTACAAGCAGGGCATGAGAGTTTGTTTCGGATCTATGTTTTGTTCCACTAGACCAACTTCCGAGCAACCTGACAGGCAACCCCCAGCTCCACCACGATCCCCAACATATTCTATGGGCAGGTGATGACTGATCACTTTTGGCCCGAGCAGCACCTGTGGCAGCTCCTTGTTTCACTGTAGCTTGAAAGCTGCAGGACTTGGCTGTAGGGGCTGTTACAGGTTATACGTGTTTGAGTTCAGCAGACTATGCTTGTTCAGTACAGGAGAGACTTTGGTGAGTTGTGACGTCGTTGTGGCTCGTACGGTTCAGACTAAGGATGTAGACCATGATGCTAATGACGATGACACTGGCCATGATGATGTATGGCAGCATGCTGCGTCTGCGGAGAATGATGCTGCTGATGCTGCTGCTGACGATGATGCGCATGATGATGAGGACGGTCACGTTGTTGTTGATGATGATTGATGAGGTTGATGATGGTGATGATGATGATGGTGGTGATGATGATGATGATGATGATGATGATGATGATGAGGTTGACGATGATGATGAGGATGATGATGAGGATGATGATGATGATGATAATGATGATGATGATGATGATGAGGATGAGGATGAGAATAATGATGATGATGAGGAGGAGGAGGTGGAGGAGGAGTAGGAGGAGAAGGCTTATGATGACAGCACTGCTAGCCTGGTTATTGTGATGAGGCTGTTGACTGGGACGAGGTGATGACGGCGAGGACAATGATGATAATCATGATTCAATGATGGTGATACTGATGAGGATTGTCGTGGGGTGATGTTTGTGGTTGTGGTGGGTGACGGTGCTGATGGCGATGGCGCATGTGACAAGGTAATGATGGTCTTAGTTAAGATGTTGATGACGGTCGCCGTCATGAGGCTGATCGTGACATGATGGTTTAGTTATCATGATGCTGCCGATGATGATTGCTGTGTTGGTGTCTCCAATTACTACTTGGTTGGTCACGATGACAGGGAGTGTCACCATTGAGCTTCAAAGCTGTTGGACATAGCTCGGGCCGCGTGAAAGGGACAGCCCCGGAAGCCTGATTCCCAATTTCCTGTAAAGCCTAAGGCCTAAGCCCTCTACCCAGCTACAGCGAGGAAACGAAGAGCGACCCAAACCGTAAACACCAAAATTCGTATGCCCAAACCTCAAGATCAAGGTACTGGACGAGACCCGAGGAGCACATCAACACGGGCTGCATATTTGTGGAAGCCTCAAGGGGGGTGAGGTCTTAGGTTGGTGGATCTTTCAGGGGAATATACTGTGGTGGAGGTTAAGCAATTTGAAGTATTTGGGGCAATTAAGGGAGGAATGGGACATTTTTGAAGGTCTTGAGATTTTTTGTGCTTTTTTAATTTGGCAAGTAGCTTGGGTATCGCCGGATTAAGTCTACGGTTAAGGGCCTGTAGAGACCTTCAGATGGAGATCCACGGCCTCTTGTCCAACCGGCTAAACAGTACCCTTAAAGGCGTCCCCGGTGAGACATGGGACATAGCCGGGAAACTCTCTTTGCGCGGAGCCCTCGAAGCACAGCCTTGTGCCGATGCTGCTGGATCAGGATGTCTGAAGACTCTGGGGGGGGGGGGGGGCGCAATGTTGGAGGCTGGAGGATGTCGGGAACCGCAAAACAGAGGCGTAAACCCTTGCAAGCTCGAGCAGCCCTGAGGAGGATTAATCCTTGTGCAACCGGTAAGCCGCAGCACTTCAACCTGCCAAGGTGAAGGCATCCGTCCGCACAAAGGCGTTCCTGCAACTGGGCATTCATTTTGGTCGCCTCCAAGAAACCCTTGGGGCTCGGGTTTTGCATCCGGCTTTCCAGTTCCCCCACTGCGCCAAACGGTCGGTTGAGATCAAGCCGTGGGATATGAACGAGATTGGTGTGCTTTTCCGTGTGTAGTTCTGCCGTCCTCAGTCCTTGGTGAACCCAAGCATGCAAGCCAAGAGACTATCCTGAATTCAGAAGAACCACGCGTAGGCCTGTAGGGCTGCATGTGCATATCCCCACGGCAAGTTGTTCTACCCTCGACACACAGTTCCAAACCGAAGGGCCCGAGCCCTAAACCAGAAGTCTTGAGTTAGGGTTAAGTTATGTAGGGTTTAGGCCGTACTTCAGCCAGGTACGAGTTCTTGGAACATCACAACGAGAGTGAGGTGGGAGGGCTTCAGCGACACTGGATGGACCAGCAGGTGGATCGGGCCAGGAGCTTGTTGAGTGTATACGGGGCTCCCCTCAGTGGTTGAGTTCATGCTTGGGATACTATTATGGCGATAAGGTTCTAAAACACCCTACCCCACATGTTTCTTTCAATTACGGCTTTCGTCTTCAGTGGTTTTCACGTCAGGGTCTTTTCCTGGAGCCTAAAATTTCTGTCTAGGATCCCATTATAATAGCACGGGAACAACAAGCAACACACGACGGGCTTCAACGCTTCGAAGAACTCAACACCTTGCAGAAACAGTACCGTAGAGCTACCTTTACGAGCCTTGTCCTGTGGGGCCGGGTCTAGTAGACCGGGCTTCAGGTGTTTTGGCTTTGGGTTTTAGAGGCATGGAGGTGCGGAGAATTTACGGCTTGGGGTCTTTCTCAACCCGACCCAGAGTTGACGCCAATGCCCCAAAGCCAAAGCATTCATAAACCCTTCCTTCACCCTCAAAACCTACCTGGTCAAGGACACACTAGGAACCTGATAGTTGTAGGTCTTTGAGGGCTTAGGCATGCCCGCAGGTGTTCAATAAGTTCGTGGAGCATCGTCTCTTCCACTCCAATGCCGATCTTGTCCACGGCCTCTATGGCAATCAGGTGGGGTTTGTGCCCTAATGATATGATGAGAGGGTTTATACCCTAGCCTATCAAGCAGGGGAGCGCCTGCACACAGGTGTTCCGAAACATCCGCGCCCAGCAGACCGCACAGCCCATCCGCCTGCGCGTCCTCGACCCGAAGGTCATCGCCCACGGGATGAGCCCTGGCAAGTGCGATGCTTAGGTTACAGGGCATGAGCAAAGGCCTGGCAATTCAAGGGCACTTGACATAGTCCGATGCTCCATTCTCCGGCTCAAGATCTGCCATTTTCTGTTGCTTTACAGCTTGGTATTCTCATCTGAGCACGCTCTTTCGCGGGTTTGCCGAATGGGTTGTGTAGGATTGTGACTGCGGTTCTGGGGTTTGGATTTCGGTGTGCGACTTGGGCTGAAAGCTTCCAGTCTGTGCCCAGCATGAGAAAAATGTGGCTTTAAGACCCCAGCCCCTATAAGCCCTAAACGGCCCTAAACCAAACGCAGTAGTTGCTCGACATGCAAGCCCAACCCTCGAGTCCCAATCCCTGCCTAGCACCGACACCTCAAGTCTCTGACCAACCCTAGAAGCCAAGTTACCCATATAATGGGCTACGTACTGTACATACAGACATACATACATCCATCCATCCATGCATGCATGTGTATGTATATATATATATATATATATTCGAAAAAACACATGAATAATGTATACATAAACATGTTCTAATATATATATATATATATATATGTGTGTGTGTGTGTGTGTACATATGCAGTAGCCGTATGGGGATGTGGGGCAATCGAAAGCCAGGCAGGGTTTGAGACTTGATGATTCCAGACCCGGCTCCGGAGAAATGCTAGGTGTCAGACAACGGGAGCCAGGTGGAATAATGGCCAATGAAATCGGTGGGGAGGGTTTAGGGTGTAGGGGTTGAAGCAGCGAGGGATATATCTTGAGATCACAGTATTTACGGCTCGAGCCGGGTTGCGAATTGCATGGGCCTGAAGTTCTCAGACTAGGGGTTGCGCAACTTTCAACCCCTCTCACACATAGGATCAGATGCGAATGCATGACGCATGAAGATGCCGTGTTTTCTGCAGGCCATGGAAAGCTCGACTCTCTGCTAGGAGACGGGTTTGCAAGCATACTTAAGGTCGCGGCAAAGGGCATTCACGGATTCAGAAACACTGACACGCAAACCCTAAACTGAGCCCTACATACTATCGCTTTTCTCGTCTCTAATCCCCAGGCACCCAAACCCACAGACCCAAAAACTCACTCCCAGGAATTTCTTCTGGCTTCGAGCACACGAGGGCCCTGGCCAGAAGCCTCCTGTCCTGGCCCACGCCAACGGCGTAGATGGCAAGGCTGGTGGGATGGTGCTTGGGAGATTCTCATGCCCTGCCATTGCCTATATGTGCTAGTGGATTCAGTATCTGTGCAGCAGTAGCAGTGGTTGTGCTGGTAGTAGCATCGCTTGTTGTCGTTCTCGTCGTCATCGGCGCCATCGTCCTAGACATACTTAGAGACAGTATGAGCATGAGGACATGATTCGACACCGGTGATGATCATCAATGCATGATATTCAGCATGCCCATTGAGCATGAGATCATATGGTTCGATGCAGACGAAGCTAATTCCATTGCATGGCGAGTCGACGTGAAGGCGGATAGGATGTAATAGCCACGGTTCATATGTATGATGATCCAGACGATGGTGATGAGGACCCCGCCGCTTTAAGAACAGATATCCGCGAAATGACCTTTAACGCACACTGTTTATTTGGTTGTATGGTGACTTGGTACCGTCACATGTGCCGCGAGAGTCGTAAAGTCAGAATCCTTGCAGCTATGGCAGAACTTTCAGGGCGTCCCTGTCAGGAGTACTTTCTTCGCGATCGCGGGCAATGGTACATCGACGACTTTGCCGATCGCTTTGGGGATCAAAGCTTCTTAAGCTATGAGCATCCACCCGGCATGTCGCTGGCGCAGGACGGGTCTTCAGGTACTGATGCTACTTGGAGGATCATGGGACTTAATTAGTAAGTAAGGTTATAAGTCCCCTAATTGGGGTTATAAGTATATGTACCTTAGTTATAACCCTACTTACTAAGTCCCATGATCCTTTAAGTAGGCGGCTGCCAAAGCACCACTTAAACCCCTGGCTTACCCTCAGCCTCAACATTCCGGTTATCGGGTCGAACTGGAGCCCTGCCAGCTATTTTCAGCTGATGCTCATGAAGCAGGCTCTGCAGTTTGCTGAATCCAATGATTGGCTTGAACTGCTTCCCTGCCCGGGGATGCGAGAGTGATCTTAACATAATTTGAAACTGGTGCTCACGATACTCGCGGTGCGATTCTCTGCAGAACTGATACCCTGCTGCAGACCTGATTTCTGACTTGCATGGTACTAGAGTCTTACAGGGCATAAAGGGCATGAGGGTGTGGGGACTTAACAGGAGTGTTTAGGAGAGACAACCACTTCAATACATCCCCCAAAACTCTGCGGGCACTTCTCCTGATACGATGCTTCATGCTTCTGGACGGTGAGTACATCTTTGCCTGCAGGCTCAGACCCAGAGTCTTCCAGGCACAGACCCAGAGTCCTCCAGCAGCTTCAACTTCGGAGTTTCCGGAAATAAGGGATACCTTATTTTGGGGTCCTTATAGTAAGGATCCTACTATTTAAAGTACTATATTAGGGTCCCCTATTTTCGGAAACCCCCACTTCAGTCTAAGCCACAAGCGCCAAACCCACTCTCATGACTCTCATCCTACCCTGACACCACGTGCACCTACCACCCTCCACACCCCAAGCCCCTGTGCAGTTCTGTACCAAAGAAGACAATTCACTTGCCGCCCCTCGGTCTCTCACACACACACACACATATCTATAATATATAATACAATATAGCTTTATATTTTATTCTATTATTTAATATTTACAAACATATGCACACGTACAGACACACACGCACACAGAGAGCAATCTCATACATCCTAAAAACTCTATGCAAATTGCTCATTATTCAGTCCCATAGAACGACCCTAAACCCTAAACCCTAAACCCTAAACCGAAGCCGGAGGACTTCCAACACCTGGTCGAGGCCCTGGTCGTCGCTGCGGCGCTGCGGAGGCGGCTAGTGCTTCCAAACACGATGACCCCGGGCCAAAGAGTTGAAGTAGTATAGGGGCCTTGATAATTAGAACAGGGTTTTGGGGTTCCTTCTTATAATTATGGAAGAGCTATAAGAAGGGCCTTAACAATTAGAATAGGGCTTTGGGGTTCCTTCTTGAAATTATAGTATAATCATAAGAAGGAACCCTATTCTAATATTATTGAGGCCCCTATATTACTGGCTTCTGCCGCACTTGTGGTACAGCCGATCAGTATGTGTGCATGTATGCCTTTATATACCTGACACCCAGTCTAGGTCCAAGTTTCATGAGAGTTGAGCATGAAGGATTTAGCATTCAGGGGTTTCTTTCAGATCCTCTTCGTGTCCGTGTCTCATGGGAATGGACCACGCCCGGGCCCGCATTATTCACGAAATGACCTAGGCTCTAAGTACTGGGATCCTCATTGGAAGGGCCCCCCACCCCCCGAAAGAAGGCAAGGCAACCCGGCAACACTTACTTTACAAAAACCCTAAACTCTAAGGACCTTACTTTACGAAACTCCTGAACCCTAAACCCTATGAACTCTAAACCCTACCTTATGCAAAGAGCTCATCTCTCTTTGCTCTAGCACAAAGGAACTGCGAGCACTGCCCTGCCCTGGAGCCTTGGCTAGGGACGACTTCAAGGGAGTTGGGGTGCAAGCTTCAGGATTGATGAGCCTGAAAAGCCTCAATTTGGGGTTTATCCTCATGACTCTCTTGCTTATGTCTATTTCGGGGTTTTGCAGGGGGTTGCGGCTTGCATGGTCGCGCGTTCTTTCGTTTCTCTGCGGCCGGACCCGTCCTAAACCCTCGATCCGACAGTCGAAGCCCAAGCTTTGAGTCCAGGAGCCCTACAAAGCCACCACGGTGTTGAGGGATGGCAACTGTACCTTCGACTACTTCGCCTGGTCACAGAGCCTTGCTCGTGGATTCAGAGCTGATAAGGCCTATATGGAGTTGAGGCTTTAGGAGTTCAGGGCGGTGGGGCTTGGGCCCCGGGTGTAGAAGTTCAAAGTCTATTCTTGATTGTCTAGAGTATCAGTCTTTGGAGATCTGGGCTTGGGAATAAGATGTGTGAGTGAGCGCGCGCGTGTGTGTGTGTCTGTTTGTCTGTTTGTGTGTGTGTGTGTGTGAGTGTCTTTGTGGGTGGGTGCCCGTGCGTGTCTGTTTGTCTCTGTCTGTGAGGGTGGGTGTGCGCATGCCTGAGTCGTATTGATCATGATCTTGTGCTTCGGGTCTACATTAAGGTCCCTTTTCAGTTCCTGACATCCTAACAAGCAAACCAGACCATTGCAGGGAAGGACCCGTGCGCAACAGGTATGGTGTTGTAACAGGAAGACAGCGCCAATACGTCATCTTTGCTGGGCGCTGCAGGTTTCTCATGCGTTCAACTTCAATGCAGTTTGAGCTAGTTTGAGCACAGTCATGCGGCCAGTTGTTGAGCCTGTTTCACCTTTTTTTGCAGATGGAGGTGAAGGGCGCCAGCAAGTCAAAAACATCAATGCTACGGAAGTCTTCAACAACATTGGCGTTGATTTGGAGAGATAGTGAGGAGGAGGCTGGGTTCATCGACATTTTGCAAATCCGAATGCTTGGTTGTAGATATAATTGGTCATGCAGGCACCTGTCGTGTCGCTTTCGATGGCATTGCTTCTCTCAGCTTGCCTTCCTCTCCCTCGACCCAATGGCTTTTCTATAAGTACTGCATTTGTCAGGCTTGTTGCGGGGCATCCAGAGCTCAGTGAATTTAAAGTGTTTGACGACATGCCCGACAAGGCTGCCACAATATCGCGACCTTAATTGCAAGACTTGGGGTTTGGTGTTTGTTATACTATAATGAAGCAAAATTAAGGAACCCGACGGCACAGCGTTAGTAATTATCAACCCGCCTGTTATGACCTAAGCCCTTGGCCTTTAAACCCTGCTAAACGAGATCCTGAAAACTAGAACCCCGAATGCCGTGAACTCAAACCAAACTTAGGCTCCTAAACGCCGAAGCCCCGAACCCCAAAGGCCCCTCATCTGCAACACAACACTAATACTACAAAATCAACTGCATGAAAACAGTAAATGAACATATATGCTACAAAACCAAAGACACCAACACAACAAGTGAACATATGCAACCCTAAACCCTAAACCC